AAAAAAAAAAAAAAAAAATCCTTGTGAACTAGAACAATGATTACCAGACTAGGATCAGAGCACCTACCAGTATTATCAAGAGCACAGCTAATACTAGACCAGCTAGTCTGATTCCAAGTCTGGGGTTCTTTAAACTTCACTACCCACAGGGCCTGAGACAAATTAATTCTGTAACATCTTCAGTATCTTCCAAACCACTGAAGGTAAGTCATAATCTTAAATTTTGGCTCATTATTTAAGTTTATTTACTCAAACTCATGTTTCAAAATGCCAAATAAGAAAACAAAAGTTAACTGATTTTGTACATAAAACCTAAGTCTAAGAAAAGATGGATTCTTAAACCATGAATCGAAGACTCCCTATTATAAATAGTAAGACTGCAGTATCTATGGCATACAGCACATTTATTTCCAACGTGTTTGCAATATCCATAACTTACTTCAATTTTAACCTTTCCTGAAAACAAAAAGATTATCATTGTTCTCACTCGAAAGTCAGGGATACACAGGTAAAGGGTACCTCGGAAGAATCAGAAGAGACACATTTGGAGAACCTATCTAAACTGCAAACATCCAAAGGTGTAAGTAGGATGACTAAGTTCATCTATCAAGCATAAGGAAGCCATCTCACCCAGTAAGGTCCGAACAATAATAGGTCAATTAATAGACAGCCACCTTAAAGCAGGTGACCAAAACCACACACACTTTAAACATTCTAATTTAAAATGTATGAAGCAAATCCATAACGCATCACCTATGGTTTGCAGTTTCACTTCCTTTAAGTTATAGCATTAATTTAAAGATGTGTGAAGGTGAGTGTTACAGGCTCTTCCAGTTCGTTCCCCTCCCCTATGGGCTCTCCTAGACGGACAAGCTCTCCCAGCTTGTCCCCTCCACCCCCAACCCCGCAGTCCAATTCCAAGAAAAGCCTTCAAAGCATAGAAACTCGGGGGGAAGTCCCAAGTTTCACAAAAAAACCCCAAGTTCCCAGTGGATGAACAATGGTGGAAACCCACCTAAGCTGTGTAACCCAAGCAATAATCATTGTTATATAACTATAACCACTGTGACTTAAGATGTATCCATTGTCAACCAAGCTATAACCCCGCCCCCAAGCTAACTGCAACGTTCTGCTTTTGTACCGCCTGCTTGCTTAAACTATAAAAAACAACTGGCCCTGCACTTCAGGGCCACTTGTCTCTCAGAGCAATAGCCCCCTGCACAGGTGCAAATAAATCATCAATTGATTGCATCTAAGTGGGTTCAAGTCTATCTTTCCAGATTGTAACAGTGAGTACATAATTCCTCCATATTTTGATAATTTTTTCATGTCTTTCAGTTGTCTCTCCTATATCTAATTCAATATCTATTTCTGTTTACTACTCATCTCACCAAGTATTTTAATGCAATCAATGTTTCTTTAATAGGAAATAATGATTATCTTTTCATACCCATAATTCATTGGCTTATGCAATTTAGAATCATTTAACTATAATCTATGAACAAATGTAATAAAAGTTCAAGAAGGAAACATGACTACTTCCTGGTAAGAACACATTTCAGCTGTTAGGGACAAACATATGTTGGCATTCTGGAGAGTTTTCTACCCCCTGCAAACATCGAACATGCTCTATGGGCACAGTCAGATGGGACTGGAGGAGAAAATGACAGGACTAGTTAATTTAGTGTGTGTATTAAAAGTGAAGCTGGTTAAAAGAATTTCTGTGCATATTCAGTTACAATTTAACACCTGTTAAAATGAATCTCTTCATTCTGCTGGTAATATGAATACTTATTACACACCCAGAAGGAAATCAAGGGTAGCTGTGCAACCTGAGGGATGAGGGATCCTTCGTGTTGCTCCAGCTTCTGGGAATGGGTTCAAAACCCCTCCAACTGACTTCCAAAAGCCCAAAGTCTCTTGTAGGAGCTCCTATCTTTAAAGCTTAATAAATCATTCACTTATGCTAACGTGTGTGTGGAAGCTTAACCACTGGAGAACAAGCCAAATTGGACCAGTACACATTTGTTAGGGGAAGCTTAAGTGACACGTCCACCATACATCAACAACAAACATAGCTGTTGTTAACTAGATCTAGCATTCTTTAAATTGTGATTAAGCCCAAAACAATTTGGTACTGTCTTCTAAACCCCTGAAACTATTATAAGTTTCAGAAGATTTTTCCATTTAGTAATAAAAAAAAAAAAGAAAGAGTACAGTTACTTCAGATATTAGTTTAAATTTTAATTGCACCATTTTGGTTTTCCTCCTAATAGCACAATAGATCACTGGCCTAATGAACAATCAGAGGTAAGAACTGTGTTCAGCTAAACTGAGGGGTCTTTCATGTGTAGATTATTAACAAAGATAATAATAATATGCCTGTCAGTGCCATTTTAGTTTAATATGCCAATGCACATCAAGGGAATTTTATAACCATATATGCAATATTTCAAAGCACATAAAATTTCTATCAACAAACACTTTAGTGATGCATAGTATTTCCAGATGTGTTGCCATCAGGCTGAAAGATCAAGCCATGCCTTGAATTCATAATACAAAAAAGGTACCAAATGTATTAATAAAATATACTTTAATGAAAACTGTTAAAACTCAGTTTAAAAAAAAACAACTCAGTTTTAATTTGTTAAATAATCTCTATGTTCTTAGATTATGGCACTGACTATAGCTTAGAAAACAATATCTGAAACCATGCTAACTTTTAAGTCATTTTTCTGACCTGATCATTTTCTGGTATATTAAACCCAGTTTATCTATAAATCTATTATCACATATGCAACCTTTAACTTTTCCTCCCTACACAGAATTCTTTCATTTTGTCCATTTTGTTATATGGACTGGCAGAACAATCAAAATATAAAGCTATGTGTTATACAAAGTTTTATTAAAATCAAAAGCAAATACAGGTATCAAAATAAACCCCATAATTCTTTTTTTTTTTTTTGAGACGGAGCCTCAAGCTATCCCCGTGGGCAGAGTGCCATGGCATCA